AGTTGAGGTGGGTGCCCTGACACTAAGTGTCATTCCACCGCATGTTAATTGTGTTTTTTGGACGATTAAATGGCAACCTACATTCTCTCGCTCCAGTGCTGAGGTCGAGTTTCATGGTGTCGCCAATGCTATAGCAGAGACCTCTTAGATTAGAAAATTGCTACTTGAGCTTCATCCTTCCCATTCATCGAGCCACTTCAGTCTCTTGTGACAACATTATTGCGGTGTATTTGTCACGCAATCTAATGAAGCACCAAAGCGCCAAAACACGTTTAGATGGACATCTATTATGCACCAGAAAAGTTGCCAATGGTCAAGCTCGTGTTCTTCACATTCTTTTGCCATCTTAGTAACCCAAATTTTTCATCAAAGATCTCTCAACCTCTCTATTTAATGAATTTTGATCCAAATTCCCCAATTTGAATTGTGGGGGTGCTAAAAGTTTGAGAAGCTCTATCAGATCTAAAAAAAATGTAGAAAATTGGGAGAGACACTTATTATCGTAGGTTGCAACACCAAAATTTCATATTTTAAGAATATTGTTAGTTGGGTTTTTTTCTAATCCTCTCCACAAACCAAGAGCCACAAGGATGGTCTTTGCGGATTTTAGGTATGTAAATCTCTTTGGTAGAAGAATATACAGGGATCCTAAGCACACAATTGCACAAGATGTCGATGTGTTGGTTGTAGCTACATCCCTAAATATACCAATGAAACCTTAAATCAGATGGTTCACACCTCCTAAAACGAAGTAGTCAAAACCTATTCACCAACTATAAATTCATATCAAAACCAAGTAGATTTAGCTCATATCCTCATCAAACATCTACAAGACTTGTTTCCTCAAAAAATCAACCATCGTTAATATGTGGGGAAATTAAAGATTTGTTCATTATTAATCAGGATTTCCTGCCTTTGGAGGAAAGGCCCTTCTTGTTCGTCCATGGTAGACGAATTCCAAAAGGAATCACTTTCCAACAAATTCAAATGAGCGCATGTCAAAGAGCGTGCATCTATATAAAACGTGTTTGAACATGTGAAACTAAACAGAAAGCTACCAAAATTGCGGTTTCATGAACAATGGCCAATTTGTTGTTGTATGCTTTATGCCAACTTCTAGTATTTCTAGTTTCACTTTTTTCGTAGACCCATAATTTTTTTTTTGAAAGGCAAAAAAGGAAGGACAAGGAGGAGAGCTTCGGCATGGCCATCACCCTCACCAAGCCAACCAATAAAATTAAACAAAACATCCAGCAAGAAGCTAGACACAAGAATCGTAGACCCATAATTTGAGCACATATTAAAATTAGAGATAACATATCTTTCCCACTTAGACACCGAAGTAACACACCATGAACCCAAAAAAAAAAAACACAATATTTTGTTGCAAGCTCTCATGAGAATAAAATTGAAGAGCTTACCTCTTGCATCCTTCACAAAGACAGAGAAAAAAAAACTTCTATTTTTTCGTATCCTTGGAAAGATAAAAACGATAATTCCATTGTATCGTTTCATGAAGGTAGCAAGGTAACAATTAATGATGACGGATTTTTTTACGGTCTACTAAAGAGAGATGCAAGACCGCTTGAAGGATTTGTACAATAAAGACCTAAACTTGCCATAGTTAAAGATGGGAGATGCGACTTACACCATGCTCTTGTTCATCGAATTCGGTTGACAAAATTAATTATAATTCTATTTTACGAGGCTTGACATAAGAATACGTTGGTTGGTAAGTAGCAAACCAATCATAAGCGTTAGTGGAAAAGGATTTTTGTAGTGTAGAACATAATTAGTTTGCATTTCTAAGCATCTCCCAGAAATATGACGCCAACACCAAAAAGATCACATAGACTTTTGCTTTTCACTGTTCTGGGATTTCCTTAAATAAAAAGAAGGTTGACAAGACTGACTAGACGTGCTGTGGATTATACCCCTTTACTTGGAACATAATTTTTTTCTAAAAAAGAATGGTAAAAGATTTTGGTTGCGTGGTCCTTATTTTAAAGTATGGAATCGCGAGCAATGCATTTTGTAAGCCTCAAAGGCAGAAAATAAAATTACATCTGATAGTAATATTTATGATCACAACGTTGTTAAGAAAAAGTTGCAAAAACTTTTTCAAAATATTTTCATGTGTAATTAATATTTGAAGATTTATATGCTACATCATCCACGTATTCACATGTAGCATTTCACAAAATTCAACGTGTATTGAAACCAAACAAAAGGTCTATAAAAGCGATACCAAATGCCATGCCGACCGACCGACCTCTTGTGTACACAATAAGCTGCATACATACCTACCTAATGGCATTTGCACTATCTTTCAAGAACCATGTGAAATTGAAATCATGAACTCCTTTCATCACAATTTCAAAATCGTAACCAAATCTCCAAAATGGAATATTTTCTCCTTATCGCCACACAAGGAACCTAGTTATAAACATGACTTGTCAATGAATCCCGTGTTAAAAAAGAGGCTCCTGACCATCAATATCATTTAGTAAAATGGTACTTAAATTTCACTTTAAGACCCTTCTATGTGATTTTGGTTGTATTCAAGTCTCGGTTTTAAAAAAAATTTAGGTTCGGGATCAATAATTGTCTTGAAATAAATTGCCTCTCAATTTCGGTCCAGTGATTGGATTCCGTATTTTGGTCGATTTCAATTGTAAGATTGTTCAAGGAACGAGCTAGTCAAGTTGTCTAGGAACCTTTACAAACAAAGCCAAGGTCTCGGGAGGACCACCCTCCACTTATTGCATCTCTATAACATTCTCTGCAACACATTTTTACCTTCAAAACTACTACCAACATACCACAACCACGCTACAAAGTCCTCGTTCTATCTTCCGTCGACATAGAATGACGTTTTGTTGGACTACAACTCTACCTAGGAAAAGAACACCCATATATCGACCCTTCAAATGGAATACACAATACCTGATCATGTTTTGTTAAATTCAAATTTTCATGTTTTAAAACAACGCCATGTTCAAATAGCAAAGTTTTAACATACTTATACCTAAGCTACCTTCAAATTAAGTAGTGTGATTGTGCACTGAAAATGTGCTAATACAAGCACTCACTATCCAACAAAATAAATAAAAACAAGAACATAAAATCACAATCACACATTTCCAGGCTTATCATGGTTCTTCTACAAGAAGAATAGCAGCAATTAGTCACAAGTTTCATGGTATGTTTGGCCAATATTATGGAAGCCATGAGAGCAATCGTTACTCAACGTCAGTTACATTTGCGTGTGCAACCTCCCTTCATTTTCATGGCCAGGCCATCAAATGATTGCATATGTAGGATACAGCAAGCAGCAGATGCACTTTTTGTTAACGAAGAAAAAACCATATACAATGGAGCAGGACTAGATAACTGCATGCCAGAGAACATCCCAATACCATTGTGCATACAGGCAACATGCACGAGACTGGAAGGGATGGAAAATGCACGGAACTGTTAGCAGCGTGGCTAGGTGGAAAGATAATTTTAATTGTAGTTTATTCATTAATTCGTCTAGTATGTAAATCATGAATTTCTCATACACATATATAAATAATATTGACCGAATAGAAAAGTACAAGCAATGTAAAACTTAGACCACGTCTAAGTATAGTACAGAAGACCTAGGCATGGCTGAATAGCTGATGGATTGGGTCTATGTTTGATTTATAGACTCGGTAGTGTAAAATTGTTGATCTCTCCAATATCGGTGATTGGAAGGTAATAGCAAACATAATTCCACCAAGTGGCTAAAGAGCATCTCGATACTTTGGCTGTTCCACTGAAATTTAGTCGTCTAGTGCATATAAAATACGGGAAAATCCACTGGATCCACCAGGCATAACATGTTGGAATATTGTTTGGCCCAAATCATAAAAGCGCTACTGCGAAGATATGGCTACAACCTTCGCTTTTCCTTTTTCAAAAAACATAGTGATACACAACAAACATAATTATAAGATGCAAAAACAATCATAAAATTCAAGCGCTACATTCACGTATGACCGACGCGACTAGTAAAATAGCTTCTTCTGTCCAAAAAGGATTGAAAACGAGATAGAAGAGCGTGTATCCTCCAACTTCTTTACCGGAGATCGAAGTCTTCAATTCGTGTAGAACAAAATTTTAATTTTGAAGAAAAACAGCGAGGAGTTGATGAATCTAACACGGTAAGAACGATACCTAACTATGATTCAGACAGTAAAATCGCGTGTACCTTTCACCGGTTGAGAACTCATAGAGTCTTCCTCTGCCTGAAAAGATGAAAAGAGCGACGTCCACGTCGCACAACACCGCCAACTCATGAGTCTTCTTCATCAATCCATTCCGGCGTTTGGAGAAGGAGACTTGCCGGCTACTCTTGTCTTCGATCCGCTTCAGTTCGACCTTCCCTCGGCCCATCCGTGGAATTGCTTTTTTAGCGGAAACGACTAGTATGGGCGGTGAAGGGTTTCCGTAAGGGCAGAAGAAAGTGTAAGGTGGAGACGATTCGACAGCATAGGTACCTTGTCATCCGGACCGGGTTAGTGTGAGGAAGCATGTTTGATGGGGGTGCCACGTGTCTCTTAGAGGTGCCCGGCTCAGCTCCTTGGCCTGTTAGCTTTGGCGGTGGAAAGTTTCTAATTTTGAACATTGAGAGGATATTTGTTGAGCATTTGGGGGTTTGATACTTGTTGTCAAAATATCTTTTTCTTGATCAGGGGCGATTTACGCATTTGACCCTACGCTGCCCCACCCCCAAATGACAACCCATTGGGATATTGGATTCCTTTTGGGTTCACTTGCATTTGCAACTACGATTCTACCCTTTTACCCTCCTTCACGCGGTAATCCCACGACGTATGCCACGTTTTAGATTTAGATATTTGTTACTAGACAAAGACCCCAAAATAAACCATTTTTAAATTACATGAAATAGACTACACATGGTTACAATAATATTTTTAAATTTAAAACTTTATTTTTGAACGAAATAAATTACATTAAAAATTAATTTTAATTTTCTTATTATTTGATATCTGTATTGGTAATGGCATATTGTGTTCATTCGATTTTTTCTGTTTTTATTTAGCACTTTTTCCCTGGATTTGAACATTTACGTAATTTATCTTTATTTTGTTATTTATAGTGAGATAAGATCAATAGAGAGAACTTAAAAATAAAATAAAAAATTGAATAATTTATCCGAACTTTTGTATTGACTAGAAGGGTACTCGTGCAATGCAACGATATAAATTTTCATTTTAATGTTTAGTTTTAATTCTTTTGTCTCTATCGGTAATGCAATTTTATGTGGTTTTGAGAAAACGATAATGTTTTTATTTTTAAATGGAATATAAATTTAAAAATAACATAAAAATTTGAAACAAATAAATCGATATTAGTATCAAATTAACTATTTAACAGTTCTTGCTTTTTTGGTGTAACTTCTTTAATTCAATTTTTTATTATAATTTAATAGCAAAGTAACTAATTTTTGATTTAATAATATATTTTTTATAAAAATAATAATTAAATATTCTGTTATAACTCAATGATTATCTTAATTATATTTAGATTTTTTATATTTAAAATTGATTTTTATCTTGTATTTGATTATGTTTATCTACAGTTAGTTACACAGATTTAAAAATGAATCTTTAATAAGTTGTACTTACGCAAAACTACTTGTAATCTTTAATTTTAAGTAATATGCATTAATAAACAGTACATCATGCATAAAAAATGGTTTTTAAGATTTTTTTTATTAAATGCTTTATAATATAGTATAAATAAGCTTAGAAAGGTGGTTATAACCACCTCTATCATAAAACACGGATATTTCCCTTGAATTTTTAAATCGAAATCAGAACAAAATAAATTACACCCAAAAAAATTATTTTATTGTTTTTAATTTTACAACTTCTTTATATATTTTTTCTTGTTCTTGGGTTTCTTTTAGTATCCTCCCGTTGTCTTTTTCTTGTAGTTTATATATACTATATTATAAAGCATTTGACAAAAACTCTTAAAAACAATTTTTTATGCACAAAATATTTTATATTAATGCATATTACTTAAGATTACAGGTAAATTATGCATAAGTACAACTTATTAAARCTCCATGTTTGAATTTGTGTAACTAACTGTGGATAAACATAATCAAATAGAGGATAAAAATCTCATTTTAAAATATAAAAAATATAAAATATAATTAAGATAATTATAAAGTTCTAACAAAATAATTAATTATTATTTTTAAAACAAAATTATATTATTAAACCAAATATAAATTACTCGTATTGAATCTAAATTATGATAAAAAAAATTAAATTTAAAACTACACAAAAAATATGAATTTTAAATAGTTAATTTGATACTAATATCGATATATTTTTGTCAAATTTTTATGATATTTTCAAATTTATATTTTATTTAAAAATAAAAACATTATAGTTTTTTTCAAAATCGCATAAGACCATACTATAACATTGACTGAGATAAAGGATAAAAAAAATTTTAAAATCAAAATGTATCTCGCTGCATTACGCAAGTACCCTTCTAGTATTATTAAACATAGCCAAATTAAATTATAAAAAAGTTTGTTATTAAACCTATATTAAATTATAAAAAAAATTGAAATAAAGACACAAAAAATAAGAATATTTAAATGATTAATTTGATATTGATACCGATATATTTAAAAAAATATGATATTTTTAAATTTATATCTTATTACAAACTAAAAACATTATCACTTTTTTAAAACCACGTAAAACCGTGTAATAACATCGACAGTAAAAAAATAAAACGGAACATTAAAATAAAGATATATTTAACTGCATTGTGTGAATAACCTTGTAGCCCTTTCTATATTATATCATTTAATAAGAAGAATAAGAGAAATTTAAAGGGTATTTAAAAAACATATTAATATGTCAAATTTACCTCGTTAGTAAGAAGTCTAAATGTTTTTAATTAAATAAATTAATAAAAAAACAAGCATTTTTTACTTTAATTTTATAGTTATATATCAAAATTTCAATTATACATATTTATCAATACTAATGTTCTTGTTATATTTTAGAACAATTATTTTATTTTATTTTTATTTTTTTTGAAATCTCTTAAATTTTAAATTTACGGTTTATTAATTTAGGTAAAAAGTTGATTATCGACAATTCCAACCGTTTCATATGAAACCCGTCTTCAAGAACATCAATGTAAGAGAACATCTTTTTACTAACTCAACGGCTGATGCTAAACGGAGATATGGGATTAAACCAATAACATGTCTTGTATTTGGATAAAGTCACCACATCCTTTTGTCCAGGGCCGTCCTAATCTTTTTGGAGGCCATGTTACACTTGTTACCACGTACTACTATTATAGTTCATTTAAAACAAGAAAACGTAACGCAAAATTGGTAACCCAAATCAAAACTAGGAACAAAATCGGTAATCCAAACCAAAACGCAAAGCAAAATCGGTAACCCAAATCAAAACTATGAACAAAATCGGTAATCCAAACCAAAACGTAAAGCAAAATCGGTAACCCAAATCATAACTAGGAATAAAATCGGTAATCCAAACCAAAACGTAAAGCAAATAGGTAACCATAGCATGCATAATTTCTCAAAATTTGGATAGTGGATTCCATAGATATGTGGGATATACCTATTGTTCCTTCCTTCTCAAATCAATGAATTCATGCATTTATCTATTTACATGTTTATGTGTTTCATGTTTGAAAATTGAAATCATTGGAAAACAGAGCATTAGTGGATTACAGGAAAAGAAGTAGAACAAATAACATGATTGCAATTTACATGAATCATTCAAATGTCGTCTATTGCAATAAGCCAATAACTATTAACCAATAAGTAATGACTAAGATCATATACAAAAAAACTAACCGAAATCGTTTCGTTGATTTTAATTTTTAGCTCCACAACCGCAAATCACGAGTTCACGACAGAAGGAAGGAAAACCGAAATCAAATGATCAAATGAAAAAACTGAAATCGAAATCTGCTCAAATCGAATTCGTTGATTCTGCTTAAATCGAAAAACTGAAATCGAATTCTTCAATTTAGGAATTAGGATTCTGCAAAGAAATAGGAACCGATCAAGATCAAAGACTTAGCCTTTCCTAAATTATCGTTCCTGACTTCCCGTTGTGAATCGAAGTGTCGCTGTGAATAACTGAATATTGGGCCCCAAAATTTTGGGGGCCCTGTTCTATGTAACAGATGTAACGGGCCATGTAACGGGCCTGCTTTTGTCAACTGATCTATATGTCAGATGCAAGCTTACGCTTTTATTAATATATATACCAAAAGGTTTTTAAGTTTCATGTATTGAGCTCCATAAAAGTAATTGATAATCAACTATAAACATGTTCAGATAAAATATAAACATTAAGTACTATTAATACAACAAAATACTTCATAAAACTAATAGCTAACTTAATGTCGTATCGTTTTCTCAAAATTATAAAATAGAATCCAAAAACAGACATAAAATAAATTGAAACATTAATTAAGGTTGAGAAATCGAATAATCGACTTAGAGGTCGTTTATCCAATCACTTATCCGGTAAACATTTATCCGTAAAATTTAACATCATCACTTACCTTATGTCCTTGCCATGTTCATTAGTAAAGTAATGTGAGTACGTAAATGCTTACCGGATAAGCATTTGATAAACGATCTCTTAGCATCGAGATGTAATTGCATTACACAAAATATACTTAGGCCCGTTTTGATTTGTAGGATTGGAATAGATTTGGAATTGAATTTTATTCTAATTTCATGTTTGGTTTGAAGGATTTCATTGAAATCTCACAAATATATGATTTTGAGGCCCCTTGGAGGTTGTCGGTATTCCATGAGATATTCGTAGAATTTGTATACATAATGTTTTAAAATATGTTAAAAACATTTATTTTGTAATAACCAATTAATAAATGATTATTTAATTTTTTTTATAAATAAAGAAATCCAATTCCATTTCAAAATCATACAAATCAAATGCACTAAAGATTTCAAATTCTTCTAAATCTAAATCCCTTCAATTCAAAACCCTTTTACAAAATCTAAATCCCTTATTTCATCATACCAAACTCCTTCTTGGGTGTTGTTTGGTTTATGGATTTTGATGGAATTAAAAGGAATTGGAATGACCAATTTACAAATACAATGTTTGGTTCATGGAATAAAACTGATGGAATCCTTTCAATTCCAATAAATTTCTTCACTCACATATTTTACATTTCACGGCAATACTCTCGGATTTCAATTCTTTTCCGACAAATTCCTCCCCTAATCCAAATTCATTTAACGTTGCGTCTACCATCTCATCTAATTGATATCTGGTTTGATCTCCATCTGGTACACACACACTCTCTCTCTCTCTCTCTCTCTCGTAATTTCTCCATCTATACGAGATCGATAAATAACATATGTAATCAAGGAATCGATTCAAGATAACTAGCTATCGATATCACTAGTCCAATTCCGTTATTCAAAAATCATAAAAGGTCATTTGTTAATATTTAATTCCGATTACAAAGTTGAATTACGTGAACCAAACAAAAAAATTCAATTTGTTAAAAATTTCATTCATATTCCATGCAACCAAACGCAGTCACAAGGCATGGTCAAATTCCATCAAATTTTAATTTATTCTCTCAAAGTCAACTTCATTTGATAAATTTCAATTCCATCGAATTTTATTCTAGCTACGAACCAAATGGCCGCTTA